AGTCCCCACAAAGACATAAGCACAGTTCTGTGTGTGTGTATTTTCGCTGTTACATTTTTTCAGTTCCCACAAGGGTAACTTCAATTTTATAAATATCTGGGAATGCAATCAAAAAACTAAAATAGCCAAACATCTAGTATTTTGTCCGGTTACTTTTGGTTAAGATCAGGGCTGAGTAGGGGTTAAAGTTGTCATAGAAATATTTTTGCTGTTTCTTTTTCTTGCATGTTGTTTATGAGACACTCAGTTAGATAACCCTTAAAAAGTCAGACTATGACTTTCCTGATAAATAGTTAGGCTAAAACTTAATTGCTCTCCAGTGACTTTGATACTACATGCCAGCCTTGTCTTCTTGAGGACCCTATAATTGGCTCTATAAGCATGACGATCTCACTTAAAGTCCTTCAGCGGGGTACATTTAAATGAGGAAATGAAACAGAATTGTTCATACAAGTAGGTCATATGAGCAAGTGAACGACTTTGTTGTGATTATTCCTGTGTATGAGTTTGAAGCTTTTCATAATGCAATATGTAGAGTCTGAAAAAGACAATGAACCCCAGTCATTTTTTCTCTGGTACAAAAGTGGGGTTTTAACGTGAAAAAGGCTTCCTCTCTCTTTACTGTGGTATAGAAGGAAGCCTGGCTGTAGTCACACAAGTTCCTTAGTTACAGAAGACGTTTTTGCCCTGTGGGTGAAGTTTCCTGTAACTTCCATATGCTGGTCAGAAATGATTTTAGGGTTTAGGATTCAGAAAGTTCTTAAATTATAGTTGTGCTGCAGCGACAGTACACTGACATAAACCAGTCTGAGTGGAGAACTGATTGAGCATGAACACATAAGCCCATAGCAGTGCAGGTACTTATAGATGATCGGTTTATACTTACAAGTAATTTGGCGGTCAGCAATTTTGGTGCATTAGAGAAGCTGGTGGGTAACAATCTAACAAGTCTGGGTGTAAGATAAGGTGCAGTCCTGACTTACAATAGCAAAGAACAACTTCCACAACCAACCAGCAAAAGTTTCTAAAAGCTCTAGCAGTAATAGGGCTCCTAATGTTGTGTAACATATTTCAAACAAAGGGCAGCGAAGAAGCGAAGTGTCGCTACATTACATCATCAGAGCTAATCAAGATAATAACGATAATTGGACTTCAGTGAGATTCTTTAGGCTGGTAAAGGGACTATTAAAGCGGACAGAATTCCTTCCAAAGTCACGTCCTTGTTTCTTCTGTTGCCAACGGAGATTACTGCGCGAGGATTTTTTTTTCCCTCCGTAAATGAAAGAAATTGCATTGACCTCTTCTATCTATTGCTTCCATATGCAAGCATTTATCTCCCTTGCAAATGGAAATGAGAGCCAAAATTGCAACAAATGGGGCCAAGCCACCGAATATAGATGCCCCCCCCCCCCCCCCCCCCCCACGAGAGTACACATGCCCGGTCAAATTAACTTTAACCCCTACGCTGACAGAGCCAATGTGCCTTCAAAAAAGCCTCTGCTCTTGCAATTTGTTGTGAGTTGTAGCTTGCAGGACAACTACGGGAGTAAATAGGTTGTGATGGAATTAAGCAGCTGGTGAGGGCCCCCCCTCGCGGCCCTGCGAAGGTCGACCACGCCGACTCTGCTCGCTGAAGGACGGGCTTTTGAAGAGAAACACCTGTTGGAGAGCCCCTCAGCCTCAGTTAAGCATGCAGCTTGAAGTGGTCAGCTGGGCGGAAACAGACTCTGAGTGGGCCACAGGTGCTTCCTACTGACCAGGGGGGGAGCAGGGACTGGAGGGTAATGTATGGAAAGTGGGGAGGGACAACCTCTCAGTCTCACATTCATGTTCCAGCCCCCTGCATAATGAAGAGGCCCACTGGTCTGCCCCGGAGACTGAATTGGTCAAACGGTGATTGCAGCTCGGTGTGCTAATAGGGGCTGTTTGTGTCAGGAAAAGGTCCTGAAGGTCACAAGCCAACAGAAAATGATGGGTTCATGGATGATAGGAGTCTACTTTGGAGAGACATAGAACTAAAGGGGGTCTCATAGCAACCAATGTGGAAGACGAGGCAGAACAGACAGACTCCGCCGAGAGCCTGACTCCTAGAAGGCCCTCATAGCCCTCTTCTGTCAGTGGCTATTACGGCTCTGCCAGCCTCACTGCAAAGGCATCATTTTACATCGATTTGGCTCCTCTTTTTATATAGGAAAGTTCACAATGGTTTTTTTCAAATAATGGTGCACAATATGGCATTCTTTGTGCGTGCACTACGCAATAACTCCAACTACGATTCTGTAATAGAACGGAGAAAAACAAAATCCTGAAGATTCCAAACAAACTAAAAGAGGAAATTAATTGTGTAGCTTTTCCCGTCATAGTTTCCAATTAAAACTACCCTTTCACAGTCATTCAGTTGATCCTGGTTTAGCTCACTAGAACTTGACACTAAAATAATCTACAAATGGCATGTAACTGGCAATAAACTCAATTTCCCTAGAAGTTCTGATTGGTTCAAAGGACATTGTGTCAGCACTGCCCCAGAACTTCATCTCAGATCCTAGATGTTTAGGATTCTTTCATCACCCCATTTTTTTTCTACCTCACCCCACGAAACAAAAACACTCCAACAACCCCAAGTCATAATGAGTTAATGTCCTCCATTTATACAGACGTCACCGTCACACAGGCAGACACATGCACACACACACACTGTGCGTGTGCAGAAAGCACGCAGAATTGGAACATACAGGTGCTAACTCACTTCACTTTGGGTCTCCCTGCCCTTCATAATGGGGACCAGGTGGAGCTCCCAGCTTTAATCAGGCTAAGCGAGGCCTGTTTGGAGATTTGCAGCTTGTTGAAAGGCACGTTGTCCACATGGGCTTCATTATGAGGTTAGGGGAAAATCACTCAGCAACAGTTGTTTTCCCACTGCTGTTCCTAAAGTGGAATAACTTATACAGCACGCCGAAATACGTTTGATCCTAAATGCATATGAAATCGAACGACTCCCCCCCCCCCAAACCACCACCACCACCACAAACATCCACTCAGGCCAGAAGAAGAACAAGGAAACGCTTTAAAGATTGCTTTCATTTCCGTTGACTTTAAAAATGATTTAGCTGAAAGAGGAGTACTATCGTCTATGGCCAAGTGCATGTGTCCTCAAAGAGATCTGCCATCCAGCCAGGCTGTACGCCTCCGCTGTGGTCAGATGATCGAAACGTTACTTATCTGTAAGTCTGGGGCTATGTGGAGTCAGCAGTCACTGTACCGGTCCTAAGCCAAAGGTTGCCGGTTCAGGTCTTGTGTGGTGAGTGAGTTGCCTAATCTCAATGGCTTCAGGAAACTGACCAGCTGTGTAAATGGATAAAACTGTAAGCTTCTTCAGATAAAAGTGATAGCTGAGTGAACGTGACATGCTTTTGGAAGTCGAGGGACAACTTTCAGTGCAGGCTTTTCTTGATCGTGTGTGAAGTATTAACTTTATTTTGGATCAATCCATTTAATATTTTTGCACGTTTGGCTTTCCATAATCAAAATGAAAAGTAAAAAAAAACATTTAACGGTCTGTGTCTCCATAATGATCAAAGCCGGACAGAATACATATGCTGCAATCGGCTTCTTAAATTCCTCCCAAAATGGAGAAAGTTCACAAGGTCCAACACCGCTATTACTTTTCAAAAGTTTGCTTTTATGAAGTTGGGTCTGAAGATTAAACTTGTGAGATATATTTACATGTCTGTCACATTCTTCTAATCACACCAGAAGCAGTGGGGGTGTCCCCAGCGTAATCTGCAAATAAACCATGATTATTAAAATATCATTGTGGTTTGGCTACAGTACAGAACCTTGTACACGAGCCCTGCTTCATCAATAGATCTCTGCCAATCCCTTTAACGGTCAGGAAACCAATCCCTTTAATGGTCAGGAAAACGAGTGTGATGCCAGTGCATGTGTCATCTTACATGTCATAGTGCCATACTCTGAATATACTTCTTTAGAAATGTAAAGATGTATACAATGCTGTTTAACATCATAGGACTTTAATGAGCTGGTTCATGGCCAAAACTGACACATTAGTCACTTTGCTGCATAACATGATAGCTTAGCACATTTTCAACCACAATTTACAATTCTTAAGAATGGAATTTATCACTTGTCATGACTCATAACCATTCTATGTTTGGCAATGATGTCTGAGATAAAAATGAGCACTGTTAATCTACATCATATGGGTAGGTGGCTAACACCACAAGCCTATCTACATTACATGTAGCCGATCCGAACCGTGCCCGAGCACGTCTGACCCTCAAAGTCCAATTCGTTTGGCTACTGTGATCTCCCTACCGTGCCCGGGCCCGCTTGGAGAGCTGGGCCACAGCACGATTAGTCGGACTGAGGTACGGTACAGATGTAGTGTGATCGCTAACTGTGCCCGGTTAAGGAGCACAGATATTACGTTAAATATGCAACTGACACAGTGACACACCCATGAACACTACACGTGAGCGGAACCCGGAAAGAACTGATAAGGTAGGCTGTACAGATCGCAAAAAAAAACTGCGTCTGTCTAACTGTGTTAGAATAGTAAATCAGGCAAGCAAGTAAAACTGTAAAGCGCGTTTCTTCCGTGAGCAAACTCATTACCATCACTCTCCATTGCGAACATAGCGAACAGATAATACAAGCGCCCACAAATGTGACAGCGGTTTCTTCTGTTTTCTTCCGTTTATCTGCTCAGTAAGCATACAAAACTTCCCAAAAAGCATATTGGACATATTGAATCCATGGTTCTGATTCGATGGTTAGCGATGTCTGTAATAGTGATTATTGATCTTATTGATGCAGCACGAATAAATAAAAATCGCTGCGTGCGTTGCATACATGATAAAACTATGCCCAAGACTACCTCAAATAAGCCACAAAATTGGGACATTAATCATGAATTCCATTCTGCTGATCCGTACACTTTCCTTCCTATGTTTTCTTCCACACAAAAAGTCGCATGGTGATGACGAAAGCGTGCTTGGGCCCGGAGCGTTAAGTGCGATGTGAGCGCAGACCAGTGGGAGAGTAGGATGGGGGCGATGGTTCTCCGGCACGGAGCAACGGAAGCGGGCCAAATGTGAGTACGCCCTTAAAAAAGAAGACGTGAAACTTCTGTTACTTATTGATTTTAAAGTGGCATTTACATAGCTACATTTTAAAATAGTATTATGGAGGGAGAAGAGCAAGCTGATTATTATTTTAAACTTGACTTGATCCAATGTCCTACATCCAAAACAACATGTTTGAACTATAGTAACCTTCTGAATTATTTATGACCAGGACAAAAATGCAGTTCTTTGGCTTTACAATAAATAAATAAATTTAAAAGTATTTTTTCAGATGTAACTCTAGAGTACCGCTATATTGTTTTTATCATCCCTCAAATCAGAATGGATCACTTCTCAAAACACACCACCAGTATTTATTGTACGATGACAGGGAGGATAAAATATACTGAAATGTTTATTAAAATGGTCTTTAGTTATTAAGATATATGTACATATACATTATGGGTGTGCAGTATGGTCAAAATGTCATATCAAGATATTTTTGGCTACAGCCATGATCCACGATGAAGATCATAGATTTTGGAACGTAGCTTAATGTTATTTAACCATTTAATCAGCAAGTCTTAGAAGAAGCGCTGCTTGTAGCAAAATAATAAACGTACTAATTAAGGTACATGGGTAGCGTGTGGTTCAACGGGCTCAGCCTCTGTGCCTGTGATCAGAAGGTGGCCAGTTCGAGCCCTGACCTCGGCACATCTGCAGGTCCATCAGCAAGGCTCTTAACCCCCAGCTCCCTGGGTGCTGCTGTGAGGGGGCCGTCCCTCCCAGCCAGCTTGCTCTCACCTATAGAGTGCAAGTTGGGGGAGGCGTAAAGGGAATTTCCCCACAGGTATCAATAATAATAATTATTATTATTATAATATAAAATACTACACATATATATGCTTTTGAATTTTTTAGTATTGCATAATATTTCATATTAAGTTTAAAAAATTTTATGTACTAAAGAACATTTATCACTTTGGTGAATAATTGCACACTTCTGGGGGTGCATTCCACAAAGTGGTATTTCTCAGTTAGCTGAGTCAACTTAAGCTAGATGCTAGAAGTCATGATTGTCCAATAGGAATGCTCCTTACCTAAACTCTTATTGGAAGATCATAATAGTCCAATAGGAATGCCTCTTACCTAAACTCTTATTGGATGGTAGTGACTTTTTGCTTTAGTTAACCCAGCTAACTGAGAAATCCTGCTTAATGGATCACCTCCCTGGTCTATCAAAACAACCCAGGTTATTCCTATAATGCAGCTGGTGTAGACAACACTTCTCATAGAGTGTCATAATGCGAGAGATGCTCATCTTGGGAAGATCATCGGTTAATCTCTTTAATCATGGAGGACCTGGGGGTGACTGATTTAAATCCTGGGTGTCCATTCCTGATTGCTCAGTCTTCAGTAGATCTCTGCCAGAAGGCTAGTCAATTCAGCAGCACCCCCCATCTGTATGCCAAATACGCATGCTGCGTGCCCTAGCAGTGCTACCTAATAATCATTAGTATGGGTTTTCAGTCCTGCTTCTAGGAGCCTGATTCTGTCCTATCACTGCACTTCACACCTGCCCTTAATGTTTCCTACTTGAGGTTATCCTCCGATTCATGAGAAATTGTTTGATAAGTTGACGGTCATCTCTGGCATTAGAATATCGCTTCCGCCCTTTACCTGGCTGGTTTCTGGTTATTCACAGTGTTTCCTGCTTCACCTTGTTCTTCTGTACTGCTGTCTTAGAGACTTTGAACCTGGAAGCAACCTGCTGCTCAGCATAGCCTCTGCCAGCAGAACCAGGATTAAATCAGGATTTAAAAATGCAGATTTAAAAAAAAACAATCCAGAGCTGTATGTAGAAGGAAGAATTGTGCGTGTTGGAAGGAATTGTCACTTTTATAGAAGCTCACATTGCAGACAGTGATTGTTTACAGGTGGTGACTGTGTGCAGTGTCTTTGTCTGTTGTCCCCTTTCAACTTTATTCTCAAATTATTTTGAGTTTAAAACAGGCTAAAACTGCAATATTACGACTTTATTCTTGAAATACATTTGTCTATTATTTTATTTTATCAGTCCCCTAAAATGACATCGTAGATCTAAAAAGTGTGTTTATAATTCAACCCAGCTCGAATGTTAATATTAATAAAGATAAAATGACACTCAACTCACTTTATATGCTTAATTTTTACTTAACTAACTGACAAATGTGTCACTGCTGCACCAGAATTTGAAAGGAGAACGAGGATTCTGCAGGCACCTGCAGGTTCATGCTGCAGTTCAGTGATCCTTGCAGCTATTTACCGGTCATTGTGTTTGAAATCTCTTAGCCCGTGTTTTATTGGGTAACCCTCATTCTGACTGCTAGGTACCTGCACTTGAGTCAGGGTCCAGTGTAAATGCTAATGTGACTAAGCATTTATAAGCATTTTTTATAGATCGGAAAAAGTCAGTAGTGGGTCATTGTCCACTTTTTGGAGCACGGAATCAGTGTTTTATGAAAGCTTTATAAATGCCCAGAATATTATGGAGCCAGTGAACCAGAAAACTGACAAATTAGCATTTTCTGACTAACCTTCTGCACCCTTTTAAAATTCTCTCAATATGGTAGCAGAGTCTGTCTAAAAAAAAACCAACATGAAATCATAACTTTTCTGACAATAAAACATGACCAAACATTTCCTGCAGATGTACGGAAGACATGCGGCGTTAAGGGATGAAATGCTTCTCGTTCATTTTTGACATGGTTCTTCTGGTGAACTTTGACTTACCGGCACTGTTCTGAAGCTGGTCCACACTTAAAAACCACTTAATGTCACGTTTCAACAGATAGTAAATTGACCCACTCCTCTCAAAACAGAATCATCTCAGATGTAGCTGTGTAATTGCAAATAATTCTGGTTCTTTAATAAAGAGATGAATTTCCAACTCCTGAATGAGTCCAGCAATATGTTTTCATTGCTTCTATTTCATTGTTCACCCTCTGAATCTCCCCATTTTATTAGATTTAAAGAAAAAAAACTTTATAAAAGATGTTATGGATTATACCCATGTTACATGATGGTCAGAGAACTAATTTTGCAGCTCTATTATGTTGACATGTTTGCAAACATATCCTGTGATGGTGTGCAATTTTGAATCAGTGGCCTTAAAGAGGATAAGCAGGTCAAATCAAAATAGCAAATTAATCCAGGAATTTTACTTTGACTTGAAGCATGACAATGTGTCTTCTCCTCTAGTTGTCATTCAGGGTGTAACAGGCGTTCACAGATCGTGACGGTTCTTATCAGCTGGTCATGTTATCGGCAGGTAATTCTTGTAGTCAAATTCTTGCAATATCAGGTGAGCAGAATGTGTCAGTATTTCAGTTTTGCATGTTTTACAACCAGTTTGCTTCCCCTAGGAGACGGCAGTGTGTTCAGTACCCTCTCTGTTCACAGGAGAACCCTTTCACTTCGCCCTGTTTGAGGGATGCTAGATGAAATGGTTAAAAAAAAACTCCACACACTTTCCAAAGTGATCCTGACACCTCGCTCCAACTTTCTGAGGTCGGTGCTGAAGTGTGTAATCCCGTTGTTTAAGGAACTGGTGTGGAGGCTTTAAATTTAATCCAGTCCACGACAGAAACGGATGAACTTTGGAAGGTCATCTACAAGTAAATGGAAGGCATCACTTTACATAAAACTCTCCTGCTGATCTGTGACAACGCCGCTTAAAGTGTCATGCTACTGATGGGCCCAGATCACCATTCATTAGGTCTGTCCCCGTCAGCGAGTGTCAGGTGCTTTTTTTCCAGCCACAAGTTAACTCCTAGCGATATGAAAGTGAGTGGCAAACAGCATCACTGTCAGAGCAGAAAACCATGTGACCTCCGTCTCATTATGAAAAGAAAATAATGTGAAAAGGTGTCCGGAGAGGGGAAAAAAAGACATAGAATAATAAAATGTCGTTTGACACACTGAGCAGGAAAACGGAACAATTAAAGTCCTATTTTTTCAAGCTCTACTCACCAGAGCCTGAGCAGTTAAGTCATTTAAAAGATATCTTGCACCTGAAAAATCTCTGCTCTTTTCTGAATAATGGGCCCAGTTGGGCAGTGTGAGAAGGGCCCGTCTTTTAGCCTTCGACCTTTCCGAACTTCCGAAGCGTAAGACCAATGTCGGGCAATGCGGGAGGCAGCTAACGGGTCCTGAAGGCCGCCGTTATCGAGGTTTAGCAGCTCCTTGTGGCCACCGCTCTGGTGCGGCCTATTACGCGGACGGCTGCGGGGGCAACGGAGCCGGCCGTGAGTTCAGGGCCTGTCAGCTCATTCAGCCAAGGGTACAAGTCCCGCAGCTGCTAGGAGGTGCGATTCGGATTCAATGCAGGGCAAAGAACTGCCAGTCAGAGCAGACTGGAGGTTCGACCGTATGCTCATGAAGTATCAGCAGGCCAGGGTAATATAGCCATTCCGGCATGTTTTATTCGGTTTCAGTAAATTCTCTGCTATAATACGTCCTGGTATGTAGCTGTCGCTCAGGATCCTTTCGCTAAAGCTCTGTGTTTCCATCTGCATTCCAGGCTGCTGAACAGTCCAGCATTTTGTCTTGGGATTTCCCAGCCTTGTATACTTCAGGAAGGCTTGATTTACCGCAACAGCTAAGAGTTCAGGATAACAACCGCAGCTGATTTTTTTATGACGCTCTGCGTTATCCACAGGTTTAAAAAATATTTATTGATGTGCTGCTTTTTTTCTCCCCAGCAGTTAAAGCAAATAAAGTGATTTCCATCCTATATTAGGCCCGCATGGCTTTCTGTGGTTTTCTGAAGGCACAGAAGAGTTCCGGTTATTGGAACGATGAGGATAAAATGGGCTTCGTTTTCACCTGATGTCGAAGGGTTTCTTTTCACGTGTCAGGTGGAATGTCCATGACCTCTGACCCCTCCCTCTGCAGCACAAAAGGGCGGCGCCAGTCAGCAGTCTGGCAGGCATCTGTTCGCTGTCTGAGCAAGATCTCCTGTCACGGGGCAATGCTCAGCCCGCCTCTG